GAGACTACGCTTAGGCTGAGGCCATGCGCAGTAGGCGTGGCCTCGGTCTATGTGCAAGCGTCATTCCTAGTGTGTGAACGTGTATGCGTGTTGTTGTGCGCGAGCGTGTTCGCGTGCGACATCCCCCCAAATGAACACGTGCCATGATAGTAATGTTGATATGATAACAATATAATAATGATAATAATAATGGCAGGGAACAAAACGCAGCCAACGCGGTTATGCATTGTTTTATGGCCGCGTTAGTAGAGGCCACCCGATACAGTCATCCTCAGAGACACGGTTCGATTAGGTCAGGCGAAGGGTCGGGCGCAGTCCTCCGCCCTCAAGACGTCAACCTCCCCCAACCCATAGTCACTCGAGCTGTTCAGCTAGTGAACGGTCGTTTGGACTTCGTTGTTTTCCAACTGAATACGCTCGATTTGAAGAGGGTCGGGCGAGAGGGCCAAAACGAAACGAAGGCTGGAGCGGGGGGTGCGGTGGAGGGTGGGGGCGATACGACTGGTCAGTCGACGTCAGAGCTGAAGAACTTCGTTTGGATACAGCATGGTTGGTGATGTATTTCATAGTTTGGGTTAAGAACAGAAATTGCAATTAATAGTTGGTGATTTTGAATAGTTAGTGGTGAGTGTTATCATAACAGTGGTGATAATGATAGAGGTAAGATGAGAGTGTAATGTTTGTATTGTATTGTTTATTTGAAGTGTTATTGATTTCAGGAGTACAACTGTATAAACCGGGTGCATTCTATGAAAATTATGATTCGGTTGTGGATTTGAATCCGGACGCGTATCGTTTGTTGATGGGTTTGTTGTTGACGCGGTAGGGGTGTGAAGTTGTTTGTTGAATCTTTAGTGTGGTGTAAATTTTGGACATTGGGTTGTTGAGGAGGGCGGTTGGGTAGTTTTGCCAATGGAACGTGGACGCCGCTTGACCACTATGAACGACGCTTGCACATAGACCGAGGCCACGCCCACTGCGCATGGCCTCAGCCTAAGCCTTAGCT